CTGCCTGGTTTACTCTAGCCCTACCTCTAGAGCCCTGGCTGGTTTACTCTAGCCCTACCTCTAGAGCCCTGGCTGGTTTACTTCAGTCCTGCCTCTAGAGCTAGGGCTAGAATAAATCAGCCATGGAATATATTATGGAAGATTATTTTATTCTGACTGGGCACTCTGACTCTGTCTCTTTCTGCTAGTCCAAGTGTGTTTTTAGTTCTGTGCTGCTGACGTGTTCTGCACCTAGCCAAATAAAATGGAACCATAAACTTGATCAAGGAATTTAAGAGACAGTTGGCCCATGACCCAGGGATTGGGGTTTCACATTGCAGAAATGTGTAACTTGTAAGTGTTCAAGCCATGGGTGTGGAGCAAAGGGCTTTATTGATGCATCCAATGGGATATTTGTAACCACGTGATCAGTGATATTTATGGGTATACCTTCCAGAGCAAACTGGAAAAGAGGCATCATACTTAAGTGAGGGTAGAATCTCGTGCCTCTCTTTGGCTGAATAATTGTACAGGTACTATGGCTCATTTTGATTTGTCAACATTTTTAACTGAGATTAATTCTGTGAATAACTAAAAACATTATATTGATTATTATGTGGGCGATATACAGTATTCGAACAATCTGAAATATAAACAGAATGTAGATCTTGAACTTTTCTGGACTTTACTTTAAAGCTTTGATGAATGAAAAAGGATGCCCCTTTTTTATAACAATGGCACTGATACACAAAAACTCTACCAGATCTTAGGCCATGGACATGTAGAATGCTTTTTGTAGCATATTTTCTAACCACATCTAGAGGCATGGCTGAATGTGTTTCATAATCAGCTCGAATTTTTGCAGCTGAAAAAATGCTTTCAAAATCCACCACATCATTTCAAACGCAACCAGGCTACAATTACTGAGCAATCAAAACCCAATCCTCAAGATCACTTAACCAAGGAATTACGGAGCCTGTACTCCCACCCGGAGCTTCCTCATTCGACCCCTTCTCCTGATCGGAGCTGGGAATGATGTGGCAGTGATAGTAATCCTCAGAATACCCCAGCCGCTGAGGCTAAACACAACTCTCCATGGAAACTAAAACATTTTTTGGCTCGGTGTGGGAAGAGGCCTGCGTGAGTCATACGCCCTTCTTTTTAATTCTTCTTTATTAAAATGGAAACAAAGTCATTTGTTTAATTAGGTGTGAATAACGTGATACAATGTGTCAGCCTGTTCCCAACTCTGTATTTCATGGAGCGTAGAGTCTTGTGCTTTTTTTTTCGTGGCTAGAAAGTGTTTTAGCATCATTATTGTTGTTGTTTCCACAAGTAGCATACTTTTCTTATTCCTATTTCTGCTGTTGGTGTTGTTATTAACATTCTTAGTCATTCAGCTCGCCTTAATCAAAATGCTAGTTCCCTTGTGCATTGCAAAGAAGATGCCACAGCCACTTCAGTAAAGGGTTTCCATATATAATTTAGTTACCCGCATGAGTTCAAGAAATTGTAGTTCGAAAAAAAATATCTACCAAAGGTATGTCTAAAAGGAAACAGACATCTTTAAACTGGAATGTATTTCAAGCTGGAAGCACTATCTTTCAGTCTTGAGACAAAAATCATTTCCTCACCACCATCTGTCAGGGAAAACTTCCCTTGACTTCCTTTTCCCAGAGAAGAGGACTGTTTTGGAATCAAAAGGTGATTTGCTCACTCTCTTCCCCCTTTCAATCTGGAAATGAGCAGCTGGGCTCAGCTCTACGACTTTTATTGGAAGCTTACATGGGGCCGGATTTGGGTGTTCGTAGGCCCTATGCACTTTCATTCCGAAATGTGCAAAACGAGGGGTAAACGCCAATTGAATGACATCGATTGACATGATGCGCTTTAAACTCTTCTCATGCTAAACCACGTGATTGATGGAGCGAGTTGAGTGACCATCACTTCGATACTTCTAGTTTCTTCGACAGCCGCTAGACAGTGTTTGATCATTGATTTAAATTAAAAATTTTGTACTATGCCTACAGTGCCTAATGGGAAATCCGGCATTGAGCTTTCAAGATTGCTGGAACTGAAGTAAGTTTTATACAGCTCTCACCGGTATCTCATGTCTTCCTGAAGTGACTGCTGTGCAACTAGCTGAGTTATAGTCACTCCCCAGCAGTGATGGGCCATTTGTGTGTTAACATTTAGGGAAATAACCCAGGCCTGAACCAGCTAAATACGGATTATAGTGCCCAACTTGTTGTCTGAGAGCGACTTTATTGGTTGAGACACAGAAACACAGAACTCATTTTTGGGGTTGAAACCAATTCTGAATATTTTTCAATTTTACATATATATTTCGTTTATTGGCTAGTTTTGTTTTGGGTTTTTTTTCCCAATTGTTCAGCATCTAGGATACCAGCTCTAATAGTGTTGTGTGAAATGTTTCCATGAAGGCCGTTTCTGCAGATTTAAGTGGAATGAAAAGCTCGGATTGGTTTTGGTTGTACTATTCCTATTCCAAAGTTATTCCTAAGACATTTCCAGCATGTTGTCTGAAAAAGGTTGATTCAAATAACTTTGTTTTCTATGACATGTTCTTAACTAATAAGATTAAAGTTGTGAAATGAATAATAATGTAAGATGTGGTTATGGAAATAAACACTGTCTGGTCTCAGGTCAAGGTCATATCTGTATCCTGGCTTTGAAGCACACAATTGGCTTTTTATAGGCTCCTAAATTCGTATATTTTTACTTCTTCTGTAAACACAGAATGCCAATGGGAAAATAGCCATCAGTTTGTCTTTGGCATCTCATCTGCTTCCACATGACATTTTAAAAATACTTCCCCAGAATTTCTGATGAATTCTAGCATAATATTTAGGGAATATCAAGTTACAGTAATATCCTCAACACCACACACACCCCCTTCCCCAGTCTGTGATTAATGACTTTTAAATTAATTTAATTTGCTGGTTGTGGATATAACAGAGATGGTCTTAGAATTGTAAATTGTTGCCATTAAAACCAAATATAACTGAGTGGAAGACACTAATGGGCTGAAATTAACAGAACGTTAGTTCTGTCGGCGTCTGAGCGTAAGCACTTGGAACATTTGTTCAGCGTTCTGCTAATTGTGCCTTAGAGAATCCACAGTGGATTTGAAGCCATTATCTGAAAGTGTTACTTCTGAAAATGTAGAACAGAAAGGACACAGAGTGTTACGTTTTTTAACCAATCACAAATCTTTCAAACTGCAGACCAGAGCAGAAAAATATCTTAGTCCCTCTATTGGTAATAAGGACAGTCAGAATTTATAAAGATCTCCCACTTAAAAATGTATTGAGGCAACTGTCTCTCTCCACATTCTTTAAAGCTCTTCCTGGATGGACTTTTAAAAGCACTCGTTGGATTTCTCCAACTTTGATAAGTTTGTCAAGACAATCAAAGTATAGCCTATGTGGATCCTGTGCAGAAGTTCACCTGCCTAAAAATAAAGTCACAGAAGTGTCCGATCACCCAAACAATAATCAATACTCTCTAGGTGCACTTACTGTTTAGTCTATTGCTCTTCAGTGCATTATTGCTTTGTCCATTCAACCCTGCACTCCTGTCTCTCTGTCACGTCTTAAATTGCCCTCCTGGGATGAATAAAGCATTTTGAATTGAATTCATATCTTATTGTGTGTGGAAGAGGTGGTGAGGTGGGGTGGGCTATTTTTTCTCACTTATTCTTTTACTGTCTTTAGAGCTGCCTTTATCATTGATCATTCGTTTTGGGAAGAAATGATTTCGGAAAGGCACAGAAATGTAAAGGAGCCACTCAGGGGTGTTTAAGTGGGTGGAATGCCAACCTGCTTTTCCTCAATATTGACGCTGGCGTAATGGCGTCTCGTCTGTGCTTCCCCTCACAGGCCGGAGTCTGGGATCTCCAAGTTCACCCAGCGGCTCTCCCTGAAGGACCGGCAAACCAAGCCGGAGAAGACAGGGGGAGAGAGGCCACCACCCTACCGGAGACGGTCACTCAGTCTGGACTGGTAAGGAGAAGCCTCCTCTCGCTACTCTTGCTCAATCTTATCTTACAATGGGGATGTATATAAAGCAAACCAAAGATGGAGTAAACTTCCTCAGACTCTTTTAGAACGGGTTAAAACGATGCCAAAATGCCAAGGTCAAAACAGTACAGCGCATCCCTTAAAGACCTTGTGTGTCACGCCCGCTGTGATGTAGACTTCAGCTGACTCTTTGCAATAGTGTGCTACAGTTGCCTCCCAACATCCAACTTCATAATATATTAGAAAATCCCACCATGTCAACCTGAGTAGAAGTTTACTTTTGGGAGCTAAGGGTTTTTAAGTCCACCCTTGGGATACACAAGGGGAGAATCTCAGAGCGATTTGTATGTATGGTTGTTCATCATGAAAGGAAAATAAAACCCAGGGTAAACAACTAATAAAGAAGATTTATTTTAGGATTCTTCTGTTTCAGTATTTATCATAAGCTTCCAATGTGTTTTAAGTGAAGCAAATCATATTTCACGCCCATGCACAGGCAAAAGGAACAGAGAAAATCAGAATGAAACCAGTTGTTGCTGAATGAGTGCAGAAGGAAGACTAATAAGGATTAAAAGCTCACTGTGAGGTTTCATCAAGACTCTATGGGATCCTAAAAAAGAGCTGGTCTGATAGCAACCATCTCTCTGCTTTTGGTACCCAGCCAATCTACAGAGTTTCTAGTTGTGAATGAGCTTCCTGATTCCCTGGGTTCCCTCCAAAATCTTTGCTCTCTCTTTGTCATTCTCCTAGTTTATTTTATTGGTCAGTTTTGACAAGCATTAATGCTCTCATTAAACTCTTTTATTAACGCAGTCCCAGAGGCTGCTGTGGGGGGTGTGGGGTTGTGGTGTTCCTGAGAGGGCCTGTCTGCCTTCAGATGATCAACGTCAACATAGTTCTGCCACACCAGCTCACCTACGCTTGTAAGAGTCCAGGTTCGGCTGAAACAGGGACTTTGAAACTGCCTTTCACCAGTAGCTGTCTTTCTTCCTCACATCTGAATCTTTCCCGCTAATCAGCCTCTGTGCTTACTCTTTGGGACTCGGAGTGCGCCAATTCAGGATTTCCTCAGAGAAAAAGCGGTGCGCCCTTAGCACAACAACCCTCCCAGAAATGAGAAATAGAAATCCTGTAATTCTGCCCAGGAGTCTGATTGTAGGAACTACACAGAACGGGACAGTGAGCACAGCATGGAAACTCACTAAACCTGATCATGTAACAGTAGCGTGAGCCTGTGGAGGATTGTAGCACTTATATTGAGATCTACAGAATAAAGGCTCTGTCTTAGGGTACCACTTACAATTCCTTGCTTTACATTTTTTGAATGTCCAAAACCAACCCCAAACTAGCCCAAAACCAAGCCGCAGGCTGTTATAAAACCAACTTATTTTGTATGCCTCGTTTTATGTCAGTTTCCATGTCCACTAATATGGCTGCCCTGCCTGGTCAGTACTAGGCTTTCTGTAATAAACTGTAACCTTTTAAATCCCTCAAGGGGCATTCAGAGTCTTTAGCATTACAATTTGAGATGTCTTGTTTTATGGTGTGGGCTATAATTGTAAGAAGGTTGAAAATCTTTGTCCCCATTGCGCTGAGAAGAATTTCACAGTGGACCAAAGAGGCACGTTACTCTATATGGATCTCTGCATTCCTGTGGGTTTGGCGGAATGATTCCCTGGCAATTCCATGCCAAAGGTGACTGCACACACGTTTGGAATTTGTGATTGGCAGGTGGGTTGAAGTTTTGATCTAATCCGGGCCTTTAGTTGTAAGCCTTTATATTGTACGAACAATATAAAATCCTTTTTTGATTGCAATGATGTGTAAGGCATGTTCTAAATCACATATAGATAATTAACAACGACAGCAGGCTCCCAACACGACACATAACGTTCTTTAAACCAAGAGATCAATTCGCTTGTTTGTGTAAATGAGTTCAAAAGAAGAAATGTGATTCAGTTAGATAAAATTGGATGATGATGATGGTGCGCTTGTACTAGATTAACCTGTTTAACTCTTAATCAAAACAGGAAGTGTGTCTCTGGTCAGACAAGATGTTTTATTCATTTAGGGAAGAAAATAATCTTAAATGAATACACCTTTGTGTAAAAAAAACATTTTATTACCATTTTGAATACAGCTAAACACAACAAAGAAAATACAAAACACTTCCAAAATTGGAAGTTCACAGGAAGTAAGAAAAGGGTAATTAATCAAATTCCAATTACAAGGAAAAATATCTGACCCCATCGTTGTGGTTTTCACACTAGTAGAACTGAGTGGAGACATCCTTCTTTCCATGAGAATAACTTCTGCAAATGGAGGCCACCAGGTGCAATTTAGGGTGCACAGCTTCCACCCATTCCCATTAAATTTCTGGCTAGAGTTAGGCTCCCAAATAATAGACATTGTGCCCGAAGATTGATGGTCACCTGGGAATCACCATTGTGTCCCCAGCATTTCCACCAGTGACATCCAAAAACACACGAGTCATGTATATTCAAAAGTGCTGTCTGATCCTAAATCATGTGTAGAGGGGTAAAGAGTACTTCTGGAGTGCATTTGTGCTAAGCATTTAGAGAAAGCGAAGGTGTTGTCCCAATCAAGAAATGTCATCTGGTTTGTCTAGTTCTCTGTCCTGTATAAGGATAAGTGGGGCAGGGACATATTCATATTCAGGGACAAATTCTTTGATCCGTAGTTTTATAACACATCATCTGTTCCCCCAAATTGTGCATGGGTAAGGAGAGTAGTCCTACAGAAGACACAAAAAGTGGCACAGCTGCAATTAGTGTTGATGATTGAACACAAACTTGGCAGTCAACTAGCCCAGTAGTGGTCTCACTATTGGCAAGGCCTCATGGGGTGACTTGCATTGCTTCTGCTATGCTCTCCCTCTGGAAACCATGGCAACTCGAGGCAGACTCCGGGCAGACATACAATGTCGTCAGATTGGCTCCTCATCAGGTCGATGTTTCCCACGACACCGTGCGACTCCCAAAAACTCAGGAATGCACCCAGGTTGAAGACGCGTAAAAGGGGCAAAGTGAACGTTTGCGAAACGGAAGGTTGGGCTTTCTAATGCGCCGCTGGCAGCAGAATTCATCTGCTTGCTGAGCCTCCCCCTTCAATGAGGAAATTGTGCAGGAACCAGGCTCTTTGGTTTAACTTGTAGCTCAGGTCAGCTTGTTGTGATTGGAGCCAGCTCAGGTTTGCAACAAAACAGTGACTCGTCAGACACTTTGGTGCCACAAGCTGTAAGAGAACCTGCTAAAGGAAAAATGGGTGAATTTGCACTTTGGCTTTAAAACATAATAAAGGATACGAAGGAGAGAAGGCACTAGGGACCATCTTGCACATGCAACAAACAACACCTGTAGAGATATTGAAGTTCTGTCTGTGTTTCATAGCTGTGTGTTTAAAACAAGTACCAAGATTCTGCTTGGTAATTGAAAGATCATATGGCTGGTAATAAAAGGACAATAACAGTGGTTAATTACATGTCAGCATCCACACTTTATTAAATCCTTCTATCTTCTTTAGGGGGGAGAAGTTAGGTACTGGGTTGCAATTTTGAATGGTATTTTGATTCAACATTGTTCTAGCTGAGAGATTTCTGGGCAACACCTGTGGTGTGACCTGCATTGTCATCGACTGCTGGTTTGAAACCTCTTACGGTACGTGGACCAGGCTGAAACTGGGCTGCTAGTGCACATCACCCAATTGCCTGCTGCAGTTCAGCAGTGAATGAAAAAGGTTCGCCTATTTTTTGTAAAGAATTCCAGAATACCTTGGGATGAAAAATGTTCTGCAAATGCAAGGAATAATTATCGGTTACAATAATATATGGACACATAATAACATGGATATATGACATGTACAGTGTTAAAAAGTGTCATAAATATTTATGGAACTGCTTTGAACACACTACAAGTAAAGCCTTCAGTAGGAAGACACGAACACTGCAAGTTTCTAACATCTGTGTCAGTATTTTTCCATATTTTATCTTTACAATTGCACACTTCCTTTTGAAAGTTTTCAAAAAATGGAACAAGAAATGGCTGGGGAAACGTTTAAGGTTCAGTGATTCGGCTTAGCTGATATCAGAGGGCCAGTTCAGTTGTCTGGTGGCACCTGCCTTCTTGATCTCACACACCCAGTTTCTGAACATTGCACTCCGGCAGGTGGGAACTCGACAGCAAGTGGCAAATGACTTAAAGCCACTTTGCACAAGCGTGAAAGTTCTCGTACACACAAGTGTCTGTTCTATTAATTATCACCCTCCATTGCCTGCTTTGTAGGGCCCTGTCTCATTGTTGATATCACAGTTCGGGCATGCCTCACAGATTCGGTCGTTAGTAACCTGAGACACTGTTATGTCAAACCGCAGACTGGGTTCCGTAGGCAGTTTGTCAGCCTCAATTTGTGTCATTGTGCTGCTTAAATGGTCTTATCATCCACCTGGCAGACTTACTATGTCTTACAGCCTGTATAAAAGGACAAAAATCTGCATTGTGAACCCATGCTCTTTAGTGTCTCTGCAGCGTCGGAGATTCTTCTGCTCAGGCAGCCCGCAGGAGAGCTAATATACTAATGTAAAAATAAATAATTGTCATTCTTGTAATTGGAATTGGTAATCATAATAAATCAGGTCTCGAGGGGGGCAGATGGGGTGGCTATTTGGATGTGGCACTTTACATAAAACATCTTGAAGTGCTTTGTGGAGAAAACAAGCGCTGTTAATTATTTTTGAAGGCAGTGCGGCGGGGGAGTCCTATTCCACATTCTGAAAGGGAGTTCTTGGTGTCTGGGCTGGAATGACCTCTGAACCATTATAATTTATCCCACTGGAGCCGAATTCAAGGGCCAAATAATAATCTGGGCCAAAACACAGTCCAGCTGTTAGCTCTCTCCCATATAGTTCCTGCATCTCCTGTTAGAGAAGTAGGATATGCCAGTTTGATATGCCAAGATATACGAGT